ATAACGAAGCATATAATTAAGCAATCAATTTGCAAACACCTAGAAAATAATAAGGTGATAAGTAACAGTCAGTATGGATTTGTTGGATTTCAACAAATTGAGTCAAACCAACTTAATAGCTTTCTATTACAGGGTAACAAGCCTTGTGCATGGGAGGAAGCAGTAGATATGTTATATCTTGACTTTAGTAAGTCTTTTGATACTGTCTTGCATGACCCTCTCATAAACAAACTAGGGAAATACAACCTAGATGGAACAACTATCAGGGGGGTGCATAACTGGTTGGAAAACCATTCCCAGAGAGTAGTTATCAGTGGTTCACAGTCAAGCTGGAAGGATATATCGAGTGGGGTCCTGCAAGGATTAATTCTGGGTCCAGTTCTGTTCAATATCTTCATCAATGATTTTGATAATGGCACAGAGAGTACACTCATAAAGTTTGCAGACGATACCAGCTGGGAGTGATTGTAGGTGTTTTGGAGGATAGGATTAAAATTCATAATGATCTCGACAAACTGGAGAAATGGTCTGAAGTAAATAGGATGAAATTCAATAAGGACAAATGCAAAGTACTGCACTTAGGAAGGAAAAATCAGTTACACACATACAAAATAGGAAATGACTACCTAGGAAGGAGTACTGCGGAAAGGGATCTGGGGATCATAGTGGACCACAAGCTAAATACGAGTCAACAGTGTAACAACTGTTGCAAAAAACCCAAACATCAATCTGGGATGTATTAGCAGGTGTGTTGTAAGCAAGACATGAGAAGTAATTCTTCTGCTCTACTTTGCACTGATTAGGCCTCAACTGGAGTAATGTGTCCAGTTCTGGGCGTCACATTTCAGGAAAGATGTGGACAAATTGGAGAAAGTCCAGAGAAGAGCAACAAAAATGATTAAAGGTCTAGAAAACATGACTTATGAGGAAAGATTGAAAAAACTGGGTTTGTTCAGTCTGGAAAAGAGAAGACTGAGCAGGGACATGATAACAATTTTCAAATACGTAAAAGGTTGTTACAAGGAGGAGGGAGAAAATTGTTCTTAACTCCTGAAGAAAGGACAAGAATCAATGCGCTTAAATTACAGCAAGGGTGGTTTAGGTTGGACATTAGGAAAAACTTCCTAGCTGTCAGGGTGGTTAAGCACTGGAATAAATTGCCTAGGGAGGTTGTGGAATCTCCACCAATGGAGATTTTGAAGAGCAGGTTAGACAAACACCTGTCAGGGAATGACCTAGATAATACTTAATCCTGCCATGAGTGCAGGGGACTGAATTAGATGACCTCTCAAGGTCCCCTCCAATCCTACAATTTTGTGATTGTAATGACCGTCAGTTTATTGTCTGAGCCCAACAAACATTATGTCCACTGTCATAGGTGATGTGTGGGATGGCGGGTGGGTGGGGGCATGCGGGCTCAAGTGCACAGCCTCCAGATTCCTACCTGGCCTGCCAGGGGGGAGGGAGTGGGGATCTGTCCTTCTCTCACTGCGCCTGCCCGCCTCCCCCTCCTCCCCCCCCCCAGCATGCTTGGCCCCTGTCCCTGGAAGTTGAGCCCAGGCAGGGAGAAGAAGAGGCGGGACCAGCCACTTCTCACACCAACCACTCAAGGTGGCTGCTTTGTGCAGCACAGCAGCTGCCTGCGAGAGAATCTGGCTGGGGCGGTGGCAGCAGCAGGCCGCCCTCCACCCAGGCCTGGCTGCCAGGGATGGGCCGAGTGAGCTAGAGTCCCCTCTTCCCCCTGGCACATTTCTGGGTTGCTCGGCTCCTGTCCCCAGCATCCGGGCTTGGGCCGGGGGTTGGCCTGCCACCACCTCCAGAGCCAGGCGTTCTCTCAGGCAACTGCTACACTGCACAGAGCAGCGACTGGGAGCAACCAGCTTCAGCTGCATGAGAAGCAGCTCCGTTCTGCTCCCCACCAGGACCTGGCTGCCAGGGAGAACAGATGAACATGCTGGTGCGGGGAGGCACAGTGGGAGAAGGACAGAGCCCACTGCACCTCCCCGCTCAGGTAACTCCGGCAGGGCAGGGAGAGCGCGGCAGCCCCAGGCTGGGTGTAGGGTGCAGGCGGGGGGGGGGGGGGGAGGAGGGGTGTTACTGGACAAAGGAGACACGTGGGGCAGTAATGTGTCCTCCCCTTTAGATTGTGCCCCCCCACACCCATATGGAGAGGCATGAGTCATCTAGGTCCACTGTAACTCATTCTTAGCTAAATTGAACCAAACCAGCATTGTACCCAACACGGCCAAAGGAATCCACAGACATTTTTGATCTCTCATAACCATGCATAAAATGATAGGACCAAATCATAAACATTTGTAGGTTGAGTTAAGCTGGTTAGATATGGCTCTAATAAGGTCAAATGGGGTTGACACCATTCCAAGAATTAGGCACAGGAGGAGATGTTTGTTTTGTTTTATTTTGGTTGATAGCAATGGTTTAGTGGTGGCTGCAAGACAGGCAATTTGGGAGAGAGGCAGTGTTCTCTAGTGATTAGAGCAGGGGACTGGAAACCAACTCTTGGGCTCTCCTCCTAGTTCTACCACTAGTTTGCTCTGTGACCTTTCACAAGCCTGGCTCCTATTCTGTCTCCACTCTGTCCATCTCCCCCACCTTTCACAGCCATCCCTCCATCCTTTTGGACTCTCCCCTTCAAGCCTCACATTCATCCCCAGCTTTCCCCTCTTCCTTCTATAGCTGCTTTGTCTCTTTCGCCCTGCAGTTTCTTTCTCTCAGTGAAATATGGATGGCCCTCTGCTGCCATCCAGGGTCAGAGGGACCACCATTCTTTGCACCCTCTCTGTCAGCAGTGATCTCACACATTCACACAGTCTCTACTATCAATGACTCTCCGGTCTGTGTCTGCACTTCTGACCTGTCTCTGACATCCCCTCCTGGTTGCCTTGCCATCAGCTTCAATTTTGCCTGGCCAAAACAGAGCGCCTTCCCTCCCAACTCCTTCCTTTCTCAGTCACTGAAAACCTCACCTCCCTCCGTGTCACTCAGGCCCACAGTCGGAGATTCTGTCTTTGACTCCCCCACTCTCCCTCAGGTTGAGAGGCAGAACAGTTGTGAATGTTTATACTAATTGTAGGTATGAGATTTTTTCTCTTCTTGCACTCTTTATATTTCTCTTGCATGCACTTCGGGGTGAGCACTGGGCCTTTGTCCATGTTTGGACGGCATCTTACCACAAAAGGTACGTCTACACTGCAATCCTAAGTGTGACTGCAGCAGAGGTAGACATACTCATGCTAGCACAGATGAAAATAGCAGTGAAGACACAGCGGCATGGGCTTCAGTGAGGGCTAGAAATGCGAGTATGTAATCACTGTCCCCCGTGTGTTTGTACAGACTGAGCTGCTGCATCTACGCTAATATAGGTAACCATGCTAGCCTAGGTAAAGCCACCGTGGGTATGTCTACCTGTGCTGTAATCAGGCCTCGGACTGCAGTGTAGACATACCTAAAAGGAGCCCCAGCCTGGATTGGGGCTTCTGGGAGCTACCGCCATGTAAATATTAAATAACAATCGACAAATTCAATTATAGCTCTTCAGCCCGAAACAAATCTTTCAATGTTTCCTGAAAAGGTTGGATGCTAGTACTAGCAATAATCAAGGGATTTAATCAACTTTTAAAAGGGGCAAGAATCAACCATTTGCCATGTTTTAGCATCATCAGCTTATATAAGAATTATTGGCAATGTTAAGGTTGATTTACATCAGAGACCAAAGGAAGATGGTGATGCTGTGACATTGCAAAAGGAATCAATAGGGTGTGACTGCAAAATGTCACTTAAGAAAACTGTACAGGTAAGAGGAACTCTAATTCATGTGTATTTACAAGGAGAGACAACTGCAGAGCAGCAGTAAGAGGGGTCAGAAGGAAGAATGTAAAGGGCTGTGATTGACAGTTGATTGCAGTATCATTTAGAGTGTGAATGACTGAGGTCACAGCAGTGCCATGAAAGATGAGAGCACTAAAGCTGCCCTGCAAGACTATGCAGAATGTTCTGTACATGGCACTAAAGGGCATAAATTGGAACTGTCAGGATGGATAATAGACGTAATAAAAGAGAAAATGACTAGGCGAGACAAATGTGCAAAGATTTGACTTGAATCCTAATACATTATTTTTAAAACTAGTGAGAGAAAAATAAATGAAGAGACTTTGATGGGGTATGTGGCCTATTTGGATCGTGGGAGCCCATGTGGCTGCTAAGGTAGAGTCAAGACTTCCAATCTCATTTTTTTCCTGTCAGATTTAGAGATTTTTTTCAAACCACACAGGAAGGGATTAGGTGGCTGAGTAGCAGAGGCAACTGGGTCTTCTTAACCAGGTCCCGGTGACATGCATAATGAGGAGAGGAGGAAAAGAGTGAAAAGTTTTGCAACACAGTGAGATGGGAGTCACTTCATGAGGAAACATCTGCTCTGCTTTTGGACCCAAAGCATGGAGGGCTTTCCATTTTGGAACCTCACATGCCCCTGTTTTCCACTAACATTGTATGGAGGGAAACCTCAAAGCTTCAAAACAGTGTATGATACAAATCCAGAAATTCAAATGTTCAGCTTTTCTCATGAGGATACTAAGTAATATATTTCTATTGTTTCAGTATTTCTTCCAATCCTATCCTGTACCAGGAAGTGCGGAAGTGTGAAAATGTTAAAAATTTAAGACTTTTGCATGTAAAATATTAACTAGAGTACTACACTAATAGTTTTTTTGCATTTTAATAGAATTATTATTTGCAGTAGCACCCACTAAGTGCTCAGTGTTTTCCAAACACTTCAGAAGAACACAGAATCTAAGAACAAACAAGTAGACAGTGGTCAGGGGAAGCAGAATAACAGTAGTTGATTATATATATATAATTGTATAGATCGGTAATTATTTAAAGAAAAGATGTTAAATAATACTGAGCAGAGTCAGCTGAATGTTTATCTTTATGCATATATTCATATTTTTTAGAATTTTTTTCTTATGGGTTTTCCTCAGATCTTTGGCTATTTTATAGTAGAAGGTGATGCCCTCGCTTCCCAGCTAGATGAAGAAAACATGGTTTTCCTGGTGTCCCGAAGACAGCGGATTACAAAAGCAGGTGCCATCTTTTAATATTCATTCCAAAATCTACTCTAGTGCACACTTTTTTGAGGCTACAATTATGAGGTCACATGGCTGTTTGTTATGCACACTTCTTGTTCTACCACGTTTATAATATACCCCCTTTTTTTAATCCGAGGCCCCTATCCTGTTTGTACCTGAAGATTTCTCACCCAACACATTGAGCACACAGGTCTTGCCTATTCACCCACTTTCTTAAATTCTTCCTGTTTTCTTCTTTTCTTCTTATTTTTAAATGACTAGATCACCTGACCCAAACTTCCTCTTAACAAACCTCTTCTGCTCCCCCCACCCATCCCCACATTCCTCTGCAACTTGCTGTATGGGACCAGCCCCATCCTCAAGATTTTAATATTTGAAAATTCAGTATGATTATTTAAAGCCAGTATAGAATAGTCTGCATGCTCATCCATTACATCTCTGAACTCAGTCCCTGTATATTTGGGAGTGAGGGAAGTGCTCCTATCACCTTGTTCTTAGTTATGTATTTTGCCTAGTCTCCTTAGCTGTTTATACTTGTGAGATAAAGAAAAATATTATTTCACTGGCAGGTGTCAAGAGACGAGATGTGATTAAGTGTATAGCAAAGGTGCCACAATTGGATTTCATGGTAACAGCATCTCAGAAAGGAACGTTAACCATTTTTAACAGTCAGGTAATTCTGATTCATGCTAGATTTTTCTTTAGCCCATTGGTTAGTATATTATGAACTGAAGAAGTATGAAACAGAAGTGCATGCTTATATGTAAAAGCTTATATGTAAAAGCTACATGTCTTTTTAACAAGGTTAATTTTGCTACAATTTTAAGTACTGAGGGAAATAGTCACTGGATTTATTTTTAGTGAATCTTGCCCGCTTTCAAGCTTGCAACAATTGTCTGAAAGTGCAGACACTTAAAATTTCAAAAGGTGGTTCTTCAGGAACTGTCTAGCTTTTTCTAAAAACTCATGTGGCTTTTTTTTGGGGGGGGGGGTATTTATTTTTATTTTTTTGAGACAGGATATTGGACTAGCTGGGTCCTCGAGTCCTCCAAAAATTCACTCAGGCACTAGCGGGTTCTACGATCCCATATCTGCCACTGACTGGCTTTACTTCTTAGAACTTTTTCTATTATCATCATGAAATTATGCCTCTGTTGTGTACTAAAACAGAAAAGATGTAGCTGTCACAGCATATTTCTGTCACTGAGCAACTTAACTTATACTGATGTCTAAATGCTTTCATGGAAGTAACCTGTTGACTGCATGTTCGAAGAGTCAGTCATTGGAGGTGAACTCACATGCTGAAACTCAGATAAATGGGCTTTGTTCAGAACTCCACAGGGACCTGCTCACAGACCACAGGCCTGCATCACAGCTGCTCCAAAGCCACTTCTCTAGGCTGTGGGCTACAAGAACAGCTGCAGCCCCTCCTTACCCCTTTATGCAGGCGTTCTGTGTTTGTGCATTGATATAAGCAGTCCTCTCTTCAAGGCAATGGGGAGCCCACTTCTGCAATGTCTGAGGGCACCTGATGCAGTTGCATCACCTCCTCACCCCCAAGCACAGGTAACACAGGGTTTATGTGGGTGTGGAAGGTCTATTATGAAATTCTCCCAGATGTGCAATATTTGACATTTTAAAGTTTTGGGGCCAAATTCAGCCCTGGTGTAAAAAGACACAGCTCCTCTCAAGTTAATGGCATTGTGTCAGGGTGGAATTTCCACCTTTTGAGGAATTTCTGATGTAAAAGGCCTATGAATCTTGAAGGATTAGAACAGTGTGCTCGCTTAGTACTCTCCAATAACCAGCTTAATAGCAGTTCAGACTCCAAATATTATTAAAGCAACATTTGTTAAGGAGTCTAAGATACTCTATGAATGGTTAAAGAAATATACTGTAGCCAGGCAGTGGACATAAATCACACATCCGTGCAGATTGTCACTTCTGTGATCAGAATGCAACTTGTCCTTCACAACATTGTAAAAATGCAGTTAGGTTTTAAAGCAGCAATAACATAGTCCAGGTGTTTCAACTAATTAGGACATAATGCTCATGGAAGGAGTGAACTAGGCAACCAAAGATTCATGTGGGTAATTAAATGCCAAAGCAAAACTGAGGCATTTGGTAACTACTAAAATAATTTATTTGAAAGCCCAGGCCTCTGTCTTCAGGAACATTATCCCCCTTACACACCAAGGCAAAAGAATTCCACCCAGCACAGCAATAAAAAATAATTTTTTCCCTGTGCTATTTAGAAAGTTCTGCGCTGCTGCCTCCTCCAAGTTTCCATTGATGTCACTTTGACATCAGTGTCTCTATTTTGTTTCCAGAGTTTAAATGATTTTACATCTTGCTCTTTGAAGCTGTGCATGGAGATTTTGAGTCATGCTGGTATAACTATGCATGCTGTTTGGAAAATGATGAAGGCATTACAAAGTGGGTCACATTCTGATTTCACTTACCGTGGATTTAAACAGGGGTAATACCATTGGCTTCATTGGAATAGCTTTGAGTTTACACCAGAACCAGTATATGTCTACCCTGCTGTCGAAGATGCGATTGTAGCACATGTGCACATACACACACTAGCTTTAATCTAGCTGGCAAGAGTACCAATAGCTGTGAAACCACAACAGCAGGGGCTTCAGAATAGGCTGTACAAGCCCACTTGAGACCCTGAGTACTTACTCACATGGCTAGGCTGCTTTGGAGCTCATGCTGCCATGGCTTCACTGCATGCTATCAGTATGCATGCTAGCTAGATCAAAGCTAGCCCCGGTATGTCTGTGTGTGCTGCAATCATACTTCCAACTGCAGTGTAGACAGAACCCAAGTGAGAGCAGAATTTGTCTCTTTAGCTGTGAAATCAGTTGGTCTGATTCCAGTTACTAGCAGAAGAGCTCACATCAAAGCCAACAATGGTGTTAGCATCTTTTTCAGCAGTCTGTTGTCCAGAGACCAAGATGCAAAAGGTCTCCTGTCTCATCTTTAGTGGTATTTCCTCCAGGTCAGCTCTTCAGCATATTGGCAGGGTCATATGATATGAGGAAGCTTGCCTTGTAACTAAACTTATGGGTCTTGCAATGTGCATATAGGGGCCATTTCTCTCCTGGGTTGTCAGTTCATGAGCTCTGCCTTTCATGAATAGACTCAGGTTTTATTTATTTTAAGGTTCTGATTGTACTTGATTAGATACTTGAATGGGTGCTGGGTTTTGGTTGCACATATTTCCCACTCGAGTCAGTGGCTCTGAATGAATCTATGGACAATGCCTGGTCTGATGTGAGTAGTGAATTTCTGGATCTTTATCATGCCATTTTTGGGTGCCCATCTAAGTGGAAACATTCCTCCTGGTATAATAGACTTAAGGACAAATTCTGCATTCTATACTGCTGTAAATCCAACATGCCTCCATCAAAGTCAATACACTGGTATGCACAAGCAACATATGGTTTGGAACCACTAACCTTACACAAAGTAGCTTTCAGGAGTCAAATTTGACTAAGCAATTGTATGGGACCCTGTAGCCCTTCCAGGTCAATTCCTTCAAAAAGTGTGTTCTCATGTGGAGATTTTGGGACATGGGGAGCGGGGGGCTGGAATTGAGAATAATTGGAAGCCAGGGGAGGTGGAAATAGCAAGGAAGAAAAAAATTGTTTTACAAATGAAAACAGAAATAGTAAAGAGGATTCTAGTCATCCCACAGCGTATCTGTTTGCCTCATTCTACACTAATAAAAGAGTGGAAAATAAATGATTTCCAGCAAATTATTGCTTTGACAGCTGCATGTGTTATTTACATTACACAACTCTCCGAATGACTGATTCAGATTGGATGGGTTAGGACAGCTTTCAGCATCATCACTTAACTTATCAAGTGACACACTTCCATCATCCAAGTGTGCTGTGTAAATTGTTCAGATGTAATTATCTTCCAATGTAAATACAGCATAGAGGCTTTTCTAGACTGAGTGCTGTAATGTAAATCCCGCACATGCTCCCACATGTCTTCAGCTATTAAAGCTTAAATTAGAGGCAAAGGAAAATTAATTATTAATTTCTAACCCAGTACATTCCTCTCTAAGGGCAAAATTCTACCTTCTTTCTAAGATGTATGTGGCTCTCTCAGGCTGGCAGTGTTTGCCTGAAGCACTCTAGATTGACAGCAAATGTTGAGCCCACTGGGAAAGGGTTAAATTTAAGGCCAAGATCTCATTACCCATCCCATCAGGTATAAGGGAGGGGCTTTCTAGAGAGGGAGGATCTAGGGTGTGGTCTGATGAAGAGTGGTAGGAGCAGCCAGGCCTGGGCAGAACCCTAGAGGTGAAATCTGTTTTTAATGTTTTTGTCAATAAAGCCAAACCTCAGGAAGCCAGTGGATTGTTAACTCCACACAGCATGTGGAGTTTGTTTTAGGGAAGACTTGAAAACGCAGCTTCCTGCTCAGTCTCCCACTGCAGCTGACAAGTGTTCCATACTTGCATCTCCAAAGGCAGAATTTGATCCTAGATTTTCTATGTATGATTGAAGCTGCCAGTAGAGGGTTTGGGGCACATCTGAGAGGAACCAGTGGCAAACGGATGATGGTGAGATCCTGGTAGGAGGAGGTGGCTGCCTGCTTGTGGGGATGCAGGAGAGAAAAGGTTGGTTCAGGATTCTCACTCTTGCAAGCTGAATAGTTCCATGTATAAAGAAAGAAATTAACTGATCTTGGGAGTCAGGAGCCTTGCATCAGGGCAGGACTTAACGTGAATGCCATTATAAAAATGGACATATTGCACTTCTCTCTTTCCCTCAAGGATCTCAAAGTGCAGACAGATGGCAGTTATTGATTCCCATTTTACAGATACTGCATCTCTCTCTTTGTTGCTCTAAGTCACTGGCAGGACTCCAGTAACTCCGACAGGGGGTATGGGCTTATTACAGGAGTGGGTGGGTGAAGTTCTGTGGCCTGACACGTGCAGGAGGTCAGACTAGATGACCATGATGGTCCCTTCTGGTCTATGAGACATGGTTGGTTATTCCATTAGGTTTCAGATCCTAGAAAAAGCACAGTGACTAACTCTCTGTCTGTGGTGATTGTTGAACTGACTGTGCTCAGATTTTTAATTCCATTGCCAGCCACTGATTATCTTTTTCTGTTTTTGTTTTGTTTTCAGATGAGGGTTCTGACAAGCACAAACATTGCAGTAAGTTTGTTTTTTTTACCGCCTTCTAATTAGATAGAATAATGTTTACTTTCTAATTATTTCACTTCATTAACTGTTGATTTTTAATTGAAAATTCTAACATTCTTTTTCTCCTTGAGTCTCCTACATAATTGTGCATAGTGCTGCATGTCAGGACATTCTGGTTCAATTCTTTCCTCTCAATTACAGAGAAGTTTGGGTATTTGTTTCCCTGGGTGGAAAGATGCTTCAGATAAGTATTTCTTCCACCAAATGCCTCTTCCCTCCCACCCCCCGCACCCAGCCCCAACCCTCTTGTATATCTTTCCAACATCTTTTCTGGAGCTGTAGGGTAAGAGGTGACATTCAGTTGACACTACAATTTTAGTAAGAAAAACTGTCATGCTGAGTAGGGAAATACAGTTCTATAGATTCCTAATTGCATCGTATGGTTGATTGACTGACATACATGAATACACCCTGAAGGCTAAATTTTACCCTGAGAATAGCACTGCAGATCTTAGGAAAGCACATTACCTCAGAGGATTTGAGGACCAAAGTCTGTCATCAATCCAAACAGCTGATGTGACCCCTTGCTGCAGTCAATACAGATATCCTGTCCCTCAGGGCCAGTGCATTTATGCTGACGGATCCGCCAAAGCAGGTGTCGCTTAAGAGGAAATAAAGGTATTTTAGGCCACGCACCCAACTTCTCTAACTACCACCCACCGAAAAAGGCAGCTCAGTAGCCAGTTTGTGCATCAAAACTTATAACTGATGTTGCAAGGACTAATTTGACCTTTGTAGTCACTACAGGGATGTATTTTAAAATAGACACACATGATTCTGAAGAGATAGCAGAAACACCCTCCCATGCACAAGCAGGTGTGTATTATTTTGGTCAGGCTATGGAAGCCAGCTATGGCTTGTGTCATCTGCTACTGTTTGAGCATTGGCACCTTCCTAACTTAATAGATCTCTGTATTAATATCCTTGTATCAGATCACCCATAACATTCTGCGATTTTTATAGATGTTGTCAGAAGTGGTTAAAACAGTCTGTGGTATGCATGTCAATGAAGTGGAAATCGCACCAAATGTCTGGCTGTGCCAACCCACAAGCTAGTATTAAGGTGTCACAACCAAACACAGGGGTTAAATGCCTTGCATAAATACTATGCTTGTCTGACATGGGCCTCAAAATTCTGTAGTCCCCAGTGCTTTGCTGAAGGATTCATCCTGTGAATGTAAATGTGATTTGAAGGAACGTTCCAACAGGAGCAAGGTGTTCTTTGACTCTTTTTAAATGTAACAATTGTGGAAAATATTGTTTAGGAAAGGGGATACTGCTGCATTACGGCACAGCTTTTTTGTTGTTGTTGTTTTCATTGCTTGTTTGTTTTTTGTTGGTTTTTTTTTTTTTTTTTTTTTTAGTAGTGACCCTGATTTTCCTAAACAAACATGAATGAACTTTCAGTATTTTGGAAACATTTAGGATGATTTTGTTGCCTGCTGGTTGGAGAATATACCATTGGGTATTTTGCAGTGATAATGAGTTACTTTGTTGTGTAGACCTGGCGTTAGAGTTAACCCTTTGTTTTGGTTTAAAGTTGTGCTGGCATAGCTATGTCAGGCATGTGAAAAACATCACTCTCTTTATTAATGTAGTTAGGCTGGCAAAAGCCCCCATGTAGACACAGTTTATACAGGCAAAATATTCCATTTACCAGCACAGGTTATGCCATTTGGGGAGGTGGTTTAACCTGTGTAAGCAGTGTCCCCACTAGGAGCCTGTGTCAGTATAGCTATGCTAGCAAAGTCTTTGTAGTGTAGATTAGCCCTAATCTTGGATCTCTGGGATTAGCTATTGGTCACTGTCTTTTGAATACAAATATTAACAATAACTTTTAACAATGTTTGTTTGTTTTTGGGTTCAATAAACCAACAAGATTTAAGGAGCTAAAGCTAAGGGGTAAATCCCCTTAAGCTTCTTCCTCCTCCTCCTCTACTTCCATATGAGCAACAGGCTGGTGGCTGAGGCTACAGCCTGGCTGAGCAATGGCTGTGTAGCCTTGGCCCTCCACTTGAGGAATGCCTCATGCTGCTCCATCTATCAGGTATGGAGGCACACTTGTGCTTACACCCCTCTTTTGTCAGCCATTCCCATAGCACCCCAGTGCAAGCCGACACAGCTCCTCCCTCTGCCATCCCACAGAGGAGAGGACAGTTCGGTAGCCTGCTCCCTCGTGGTTTGCCGACATGCCTGGTCCTGCTCTGCAAGGAGAAGACCAAGGTTAGGTGTTAGGGAATGCACCTGGGGATGCCAGAGAGCAGGGGCTGGGAAGCGAAGCCAATGTTGCATTGGGAAATAGGTAGCTGTTGCCTCCAGGATAGGGCGCTTGGTGTATCCCCCAACACCTCGGGTGTCTCCTCCAGAGATGGCATACCAGGGTACTGATTCTGGACTGCCTTCCCCTGGGGATAAGGAACCACCCTTCACCGGGGTGGCAATCAGCCACCAAAATGTGCTCTCAGATGTTGGAGCACCTCCTGGACTACTAAGGGATCCCTCCCTTCTACCCCTCATCTCCCATCCTAGGGACAATACGTTTTTATTTATCTGTGTATGTATGCCAGACAGTCCACCCCTCACTATTCAACTAGCCCTCCTCTTGCCCTTCTCCTGACTCACTGACGCACCGCAAATTGAAATCAAAATGGCCACTATTGGACTTCCTGTTCTGGGTTAGAAAAGGTCAAAATGATTTCATTTCAGTAATGTTGAAACCAGTGTTTTGATATGTCAGGAATGAACTGTTGCTGAATAGTTCATTCTGCAAAAGACTTCAAGATTTTGACTTTTCATCCTGAATCAGGATGAAAGAAAATTTCAAAATACTTTTCATGGGACAGAAACTCCATTTTCCAGCCAGCTCGAATATGTGCTGTTATAAAGTTAGTCTTTCTGGAACTCCTTAGGAACCAAAGATATGTTTTAAAAAATAAAGAGTGCATATTAAAATTGTAGTTTTCCTTTCAGTTGTCTGTATCTGAACTCTTAGTAAAATTTCAGGGACAGCTACTCAGCTGATATAAATCTCTGCATCTCCAGTAACTTTAGGAGTGCTGTGTCAAATTACACAAATTGAGGTCATAGCCCAAGCAGCTAAATTAGTGTTAGAATGAAGAGCTGTGAATAATGTGTTGCCATATCTCCTGCTTAATTTCTGGATAGCTGGACAGCTTTGCTTTGCAGGACTTACATTTCTGTTCCCAGATCTTCAGAAACAGCATGGTAGAATTAACAATCCGTTCTTCTCTGTCTGAAATTAAGACATTTTCATCTGATTTAATATGGTCTGTGATGCCACTTTTAGATCATCCATCAATCTGTATCATTTATGAAAATGAAGTGAGGCTGGATGCCAAGTTAAGTGAGAAAATCTCTCTGAACTCTCCATCTGCTGATAGATAAATCTCAGCAGCAGTGCTCTTGCCATTGTATTGCAGAATAACATCTTGTGCTCCTTCCAGTCTAAGTTCTCATAGCATTTAAAAAAACTGAGATTCATGAAACCATGATAGGAAAAGGAATGGTCCCATTTAAAAGACAGGAAAGTCAAGGCACAGGGAGGGTGTGAGTTTGACCAATATAACACAGCAACTGTGTGGCAGATCCAGGACTAAAAGCCAAGTCTCCTGGAATACTTGTACAATCTGAACCTTTCCAAATACCAGATAGTTAAGAAGAACCTGAGTTGTCAATAGATCCTTTCCTATTTTGCTTTATGGTTTTATGGACAAACAAACCTGATTTCATTCTTTGATGAGATTACAAGTTTGGTTGATAAAGATAACTACATAAATGTAATATATCTTGACTTGTGTATGGCATTTGACTTAGTACTGCCCAACATGCTGGTTTAAACCTTAGCATTGTACAACAGCAATAAAATGCATGTTAAATGGCTTAGGACCTGGCTAATGGACATGTCTCAAAGTAGTTGTAAATTGGAATCATAAGTGAATGGGGGTGTTTCTAGTGGGATTCCACAGGGATCTGTACTAGGTCTGATGCTAGTCAACTTTTTCATCAGTAATCCTGAAGTAGATATAAATTCACTGGTGATAAAAGCTGTGGATGACACAAAGATTGGTGGAGTGGTAAATAATGATGAGGACAGGGCAGTCATACAGAGCGATCTGGGTTGCTTGGTAAGCTGGGCCCATTCAAACAAAATGCATTTTAATATAGCCAGATGCAAAGTTATACGTCTAGTCCCAAAGACTGCAGACCACACCAACAGAATGGGGGACGGCATCTTGGAAAGCAGTGACTCTGAAAAGGAGTTAGGGGTCATAGTGAACAAGCAACTGAACATGAGCTCCCAGTGCGATGCTGTGGCAAAAAGGGCTAATGTGATCTTTAGATGTGTGAACGGGGGTGGGGGGGAGGGGCGGGGAGTAGGAGTAGGGAGATGAATTTATTTCTGTATACAGTGTTGGTAAGACCAGTACTAGAATACTGCATGCCGTTCTGGTGTTCATATTTTTAAAAAGATGTTGAAAAATTGAAGAGGGTGCAGAAAAGAGTCACAAATTATTTGAGGATTAGAGAAAATGCCCTATAGTGAAAGACCAAAAGAAATAAATATGTTTAGCTTCCCAAAATAAAGATTGAGAGGTGATTTGATTACAGTGTATATGTACCTCCCTGGGAGAAAATACTGGTTACTAAAGGCCTCTAATCTAGCAGAGAAAGGCATTACAAGAAGAATGGCTGGAAGCTGAAGCCAGACAAATTGAAATAGAAACAAGCTGAAGCCAGACAAATTGAAATAGAAACAAGGCACAGATTTTTAACAGTGAAGCTGATGAAGAGTTGTGAAGATTTGCTCTGTCATGGTATGTTTATGCTCTCTGTATGTGTGTATATATATATCCTCAATATTTATTCCACTCTATATGCATCCGAAGAAGTGGGCTGTAGCCCACAAAAGCTTATGCTCTAATAAATTTGTT